AATTTCTTCTTCGGGCAAATCTTTTCAAAAAGCGATTGCTGAGGGGTTGAAAAGTTATCAGAAAAATAGCAAAAACATGCATTCTAGAATTATCAAAGATGATTATACAGAGTTCTTATTTTGAGGAGGTTTAATAAGGTCTTTATGGTGTGCTGCCTACAAGTCTTTTGACCACATTCTCATTTTGGCCCTCTTTACCTGATGGGAACAAGTTAGAAAGCGACTTCACGCTCCTCAAGATATGGTGCTAACTGAATACTACTTGGGATTTAAAGTGTTCGTGAAAAGGACAATCAGCTTGAAGAGGCGGAAGATAAATGCATTGTTGGAAAGGTCTCCAGAGGCTATTTCTTGCACGAATTGGTGCTAACCGAGAAATGTGGCTAGATCAGAGTCTGAGTTCATCTTTTAACCAACATAATCATACCGTTTTGCCCTGGATAGATGTCGTTGCTCGCTAGTTTTGTTTCTTTGAGCTTGAAGATGTCTCACCAGCTATCAGAGCCTGCTTACTCCATTGCTGATGGATCTTAAGTGGCATCTGGGATTATTCATTCAAGGAGCTGGCAGCTTATAACGTCTGTTATGTTGCTTCTCATGATGATAAGGCTGTTTCAAGAGGCAGTGGGTTTAATGCCCTGATAGGGCTTAGCCTAAGGTTTTGTTTACCTTCAACTTTTGTTCTACCACGTCAACTCTTTTTTTAAGAGTTTTTGGTTAATCGTTGTTTTTTCTTCTTTTAAAACTCTCAAAGTTTTCTCATAATTGATTTTAAATTTTATTAAGTTTACTAAGTAACGGATTTTGGTTAGTTTATTTCAGTACTTGATGAATATTCTTTGTATTGATATTAAGTTTTCACGGGTAGAAAACATTTTTCATATTTTTACGTCTGGAGGAATCCTTACAGGTCTCTGTTGTACTATATTTCCCTGCAGTATGAAGTGCTCCAAATATTAAAGCAGAAGGCATTGTGCATCTTCTGTTTGACATAATTCAAGCGTAGGAAATCATCTGGAACATATTGGAACAGGTTCTCTTTGGTTCTTTGAAAGTAACTAATACACATTGTCTGCAGCACAAACTTATTTTAAGACTTCGTTTGGGATACTGTTTATAACTTATTAAAATAACTTTTATATAAAAAAATAATATTTTATACTAAAAAGTTACTTAGAGCAGATAAGCCGTCCCAAACAAACATTAGTATCTTCAATAAATGA